CCTCCTCTCGTGTAATTATATTATTATAATTATATAGTGATCTAATTTTTTCTTTCTTTTCTTTTTTTTTTTCTTCATATATATTTTCACTCCTTTTATTTATTATTATATTCTTTTTATTATCGGATAAATAATATTCCAGGGTTTCTGCTGGAAAATTTTCGTGATGATTTTAAACGTAACATTGAGAAACGCAACGTATATTTATTATAAAAATTCTTGTGTGATATTATATTTATTAAATWATATATAAGTGCCATTTCTGTTCCATAACACTTTTCTCCTAAATCTTTCAGGTAACTTCAAAATTCCATCCTTCCAGATACTTCTCAGTACCTGTTTTTATTACGTAATCTATCGAAAATCGGCACGAATTTTCCGAAACATTCCGATATATCATAATATGAGAGAATATTTAACATTAATTTTAACATAATATATTGAATATTAATTATTTATTTTTCTTTCAACCATATTCGCAACGTTATCATGTTTATTATTTAATTAATTTCTTCTTACTCTTACTCTTACTCTTACTCTCTCTCTCTCTCTTTCTTTCTATCTATTTTCTTTGATAATCTTTCGTGAAAATTAATCGCATAATCTTCTACCCTTTGCATCTTTTATTACCTCGACAATGTAATAATCCCATGAGCTAATAATCTTAAATTTTCTTTTGTCTTTTTGTTAAAAACAAATATTTCCTTTCGTAAACGTACGACGACTACGAAAAAAAAATATACGTCGTGCATTATAAAATATATACTAATTGATAATAGTCAGATAAATTATTTTCATTATTTTATACCAAATTTCCAATAATCCACGTTCATTAATTGAGTTCGTTGATAGAATAAAAGTCATTCGTTAGCAGAAAAAAAGAAAGAAAAAGAAATACGTAGTTGTTTTCTCTCTCTAATTTTTAATCATCGAGAGAAAAATAAAAAAATTTCCCATTAATCATATCGTTTGGGGAAATTTTTCTAGAACGTTATATTATTTTCACTAGAAAATTATAATATCTCCCAATAGTATAATAAAAACGAATGAAATTTTTGTTGGAAAACAAATTATTGTGCGTTTGTGTGTAGGAGGGTGGGTCAAGTCAGTCAGAGGGTGGAAAGTAAAAGAACGTGGGAAAAAGAAAAAGAGAGAGAGAGAGAGAGAGAGAGAGAGAGAGAGAGAGAGAGAGAGAGAGAGAGA